TCCTTCCTTTCCTCCTTCCTTCCTTCCTTCCTTCCTTCCTTCCTTCCTTCCTTATTTCCTTCCTTGTTCCCTCCCTCTTTCCTTCTTTCCTTCCTTTCCTCGTTCCCTCCTTCCTTGTTTCCTTATTTCCTTCCTTCCTTCCTTCCTAATCGGATCATTTCATTCCCTCAATTCAGCCCCTCAAATTGCACCAGCGTTGATTAAACGTATTATCCTTGTCCCTCCCTTCCTTTGATGCTTAATTTCCTTTGTCTTCTTCCAGTTTTCGTATCCTTTTGCTTCTTCCTGTCATTGCCATGCTAATGAACCTGTCACGCCCCACTTTTCAGAAATGTGGCAGATCATTTTCTGTGTCATATTTCCAACCTCCTCTTAGGCGGCTGTGAGCTGCCCGCAGGGTGTGGTTTAAAAAGCCACATCAGAGACTCTGATGCTTTACAGGTAGCCCTTGAGTTATGTCCACAATGGAGCCCAAACATTCTCTTGCTACTCACGACCATTGCTAAATGAGGCATGTCCCGGTCCGGTGTTGTTCCAAGGACCAAAGGTTGAGGACCCTGATTTAGGATTTTCATCCATTTCTCCTTCGTAATGCTTGTCTCCCTTCTGATGTTTCCAGATCAGCGAGATTGTGGGCTATGAGATACGGCCAGATGACACCACTTCATTGATGAATATGTTGGAATATGGGCTGTCGAAATATATTGACAAGTAAGGAAGACCCCTCCTCCCTCAAAATCCTTTTCCTTGTTTGCTGAAATCAAAGATATTTACAGAAGAGTCCCGGACTTAAACCCAGTGGTAGTATTCTACCGGTTCGGCCTGGTTCTGCCGTACTGGTAGCGCCAAAGATCAGCTGGCAGAGAACCAGTTTGTTTCAAGCCTCTCCAATGCTCTGCAGTTTGGCCCACCCACCCATCAGCCTCTGCTCCTAGGTCCTTTTTAACCTCTCGGCTGTTTGGCACAGCAGAGCGGATTGCTGTGCTAAACAGCTGAGAGGCGCAGTCCCTTAGTTTTTACTGTTTTAAGGTGTTTGCAAAGCACGCATTAGGCACGTGAGTCATGCACAATTGCGCAAGTCGCGCGATCCCACCCTTGCAGCCATGCCCACCAAGCCATGCCCACAGAACTGGTGGTGGGAACATTTGAATCCCACCACTGATTACTGTTGTGGTTCGCTGATAGTTGGTGCAGAAGGCAGCAGAATCGGACAGTGGGGAAGAACAGGGACCAGTCCGGGAGTCTGGAGAGGACTCAGTTGAGGGTCCTGCATCTGATGCAGGGATGGGGTCAAGACCATCTGGGAGTGGGGTGCTGACCCCGGAGCTTCCAGAGTCTGGCAGAAGCAAGGCAGAGGACCCAGGGGAGCCTGTTCTCAGTGCGTGTGTGCGCAGAACTGCTAGAAGGCAAGAGTAGCTGAAGCAGATGGGGTGACTTAGGAGTAAGTCTGGGAGGTCATTGCCCCTCCCGTAAGGTACAAAGGGCAGGGAAAGGTAGAGAAACCTTTGCAGGAAGCAAAGTCGTTCGTTCTGTTCAGATTAATCCTTGAAGCTCTGTGTGGACTTTATACTTCGGTTGGTTTTTTTATAGTTCATTTGGCACTTTAGTTGTTGGCAGCAATTCAAAGGAGAGAAAGGTGGGTGCTTATCTCGAAGGGGTTGGCTGGGAATGAAAATAATTCCCAGCATTGAAATAAAACAAGATTTGTTTTAACTAAGCGTGTGCTTAATTCCGGTCTCGGGAAGCCTTGGTCAGAACACTTACAGCCATTCGTTTAACCACTGTTTGAAGTTACAGTGGCACTGAAAAAAGTCCCTTATGACCGGTTCTTACATTTACAAAAGATTCAGCATCTCTCTGATCACGGGATCAAAATTCGGACGCTTGGCAGCTGGTTGATATTTATGACGATTGCAGTGTCCTGGGGTCATACGATCCCTTTTTGTGACGTTCTCACAAGCAAAGGTCAAATGGGCAAGCCTGATCCACCGAACAACTGTGTTCCTAACTTAACAACTGCAGTGATTCACTTAACAACTGCAGCAAGAAAGGTCATAAAAGTGGGCAGTGATTCACTTAACAACTGTCTTGCTTAACAGTGGAAATGTTGGGCTCAGTTGTGGTTGTAAACTGAGGGCTACCTGTGCAGGAAAAGGCAACAAATATATTTTTCCTGACTCTTATTTTGCAAAATGTTCTCCTCCTTCTCTTTTAACACCCTGACCATTGGTGTTCATGGATAAGGAGGTTCAGCTACAAAGCCAAAGCAGACAAAGTCGGACGTCCTCTTTCATTCCTTCCAGGAGTATCAGGTGTCAGTGTTGCTAACTTTCTCCTTTCCGTTGTAGAATTGAGCCGATTGGGGCAGCCGCTAGCAAAGAATATTCCTTAGAGAAAAACATGGAGAAGATGAAAACGGAATGGGTCAACATCCGCTTCACTTTTGTGAAATACAGGGATACGGTCAGTGTGTTCGTTCTTTGTCATTGAACTCTGTTTGATTTGACTCGTGTTTTTCATTTAAGGTGCTGAGTCTGCTCCGGATTTGACTATAGCTTTGAAGGGACCATTCTGCCCCACCCCCTGCCCAAAGCCCCTGAGAAGCTGATTATAGATAGGGAAGAAACCTCAGAGAAGAACTCTTTAGTTAGGCCATTTGCTGTGTGTGTGTACATTTTGCACCATCGGTCAGCTAGCAACCAGCACAAAGAAGCAACTCACACAAAGCACATCCATCCCTCTCTCCCCTGTGTTACCGGTGCCAAACATGGACACTTGCACTAAAGCATAAGCAGAGGTTAGTCACCACGGAAATGAGATGTTTGAGGAAAGCCACTGGAGTGGCTAGAAGGGATAAAATAAAAAAAAACGAGATCGTAAGAGAAAGAATCGGAATAAAACCAGTTTAAACTACATACAGAAACAGCGAGTTAAGTGGTTTGTTCACCTTGAGAGAATGCCAGTTCTGTTAGACCGCACAACAAGAGGAGGAGGCCAAAAGGACAAGAGGCAGACCCAGAAGAAGATGGAGAGGAAGCATCAAAGACACATTACAGCAGCATCAAATAACAATGGTTGAGGCCGCCCAGAAGTGCGAGCACCAGAACGCAAGACCTGAAGTGGTAAAAGAGGAAGAGAAGAAAGGGGAGGAGGAGGAGGAGGAGGAGGAGGAGGAGGAGGAGGAGGAGGAGGCGGAGGAGACGATGGAGACAGGCTCTGGAGAAAGGCACAGCCTTCATATCATCAGCCACAGTAGTTGCCAATACAGATGGTACATGGAAACCATGGAGAGAAAATATGAAGCTGTGTCAGAGCTCACCTTTGTAGAACTGAGATCACGATGAAGCAAAGAATAAGATAGGAAGCACAGTAGGTTATTAATGTTGTGCATCAGTTCTCAAGATGAGCATCCTATCCTTCAGACATGTGGACTTCAACTTTCGGGATTCCACAGCCAACGTGTGGATTATGAAGTTTGCATCTACAGGGCAATGGATCCAATAGGGGAGTGGGAAAGAAATTGAGCGTCAAAAATATTTTCCCTGCAACCGCCTGTTTTTCTTGCAGGATACTAGCATCCTTTCAGCCATTGATGACATTCAACTCTTGCTGGATGACCACATCATCAAGACGCAGACCATGTGCGGCTCTCCGTTTATCAAGCCAATCGAAGCGGAATGTCGGGTAAGTGGCCTAACAGTGGTCTGTGGCATTCTTTCGGGTAAGGGTTAAAAATAAGCCCTTTTGAGTTCTGAAACAAATGTTTTTTTGTTTTTTTTTCAGAGATGGGAAGAAAAACTTCTCATGATGCAGGAAATTTTGGACAACTGGTTAAAATGTCAGGCAACCTGGCTATACTTGGAACCCATCTTCAGCTCCGAGGACATTATTGCTCAAATGCCCGAAGAAGGTCGAAAATTTGGAATAGTAGATGCTTACTGGAAGGACATCATGGCCCAAGCGGTAAGGATTTGGTTTTTGAAATCCTCATTTCAGAATTTTGTCCAGAGTCATGGTCACACCGGCTTAATGAAGGACCTTGTGATGGCATTCTGAAAACTTGTTGAACTTGGTTACTTGGTAGAAGTGTTTGGTTAGCATGGTTGACTGGTTTGCTTTGCGTTTTTGGCTTCTGGTATAAAGCTAGCCCATTGGTGAGTCCTGAAAGACAGTTCAGAGAAGAAACGCAACCAGGAGTAGTAGGACTTGTCCCAAAAGTGTTTTCCGAAAAGGCAACTGGACTTGCTTTGTTTTTTTCCTTGAAAACGTTTCTCTTCTCATCCAAGAAACTGATTTGGTTCTATCAGTTAGAACTGAAGAAGCCCAAAGGTGCTTTTTCAAGAGGCAGCTGGATTTTCTTGGTTTTTCCTTGAAAAAACTTCTTATCCAACCATGGATAAGGGACAACCATGACCTGGATGACTGAGAATCTCCATAGACGTAGAACTGAAGAAATTTCTCGGAGGAGAAGTGAAACATTTTCAAGGAAAAGAAAAAAAAACCAAGGAAGTCCAGTTGCCTCTTGAAGAAGCACCTTTGGGACAACCATGACCTGGAGGACTAAGAATCTCCACAGATGTCTTTTATCTTTGGTGTGAAATGTAGGTTAAAGACACCAGAGTCCTCATTGCTACGGAACAGCCCAAGATGTTGAGCCGACTTCAAGAAGCAAATCTGTTTTTGGAAGACATCCAGAGGGGCCTGAATAATTACTTAGAAAAGAAGAGATTATTTTTCCCAAGGTATGCCTCTTCCCAATTGGCAGACAAAGAATACTCCTTGCAACCATTGGTTGGCTCATTCCCTCAGGTACTGTTGCCCAGGGAATTCTGGGAGTTGAAGTCCAGATGTCTTAATGTGGCTAAGATTGGAAAACACTAAAGTAATGGGCCTGGGCCTCTGGAATCTCTTTTGAACAGGTTCTTCTTCCTTTCAAATGATGAGCTGCTGGAGATTTTATCGGAAACCAAAGATCCTCTCCGTGTTCAGCCACACTTGAAGAAGTGCTTCGAAGGGATTGCAAAACTGGAATTCACCGAAGCCTTGGAAATCACAGGAATGATCAGTTCAGAGAAGGAAGTTGTTCCTTTTATTAAGAAAATCTTTCCAGTCCACGCCAGGGTAATCCTTCTCTCCCTCCCTCCCTCCCTCCTTCTCTTTTTTTCCTCCTCTTTCTTTTTCTCTTTCCTTCTCTGTCTTTCTGTCCTTCCTTCCTTCCTTCCCTCTTTTCTTTCCTTCCTTCCTTCCTTCCTTCCTTCCTTCCTTCCTTCCTTCCTTCCTTCCTTCCTTCCTTCCTTCCTTCCTTCCTTCCTTCCTTCCCAGCTTTGGGAAACGTCCTATTTGAGATGCTGAAATTTAGACCAGCCTTTACACAACGTCAACACGGTCAAAATATATTGAATTGCATTTGTATGTTTGCAAATCCTGTGTAGCTGGGCAGGAGGGGCATTTTAGACCAGGGCTCCACAACCTTTTTGAGTTCACCGATCAGTGGCGGTGCTGGTGGCAGCTTTGGTGGTTTCAGTATTAAGGGGGGATAGTTTTGCATGCACAGCCTAAACCTCTTCCTACGCAAATGAAGCTTCGCAACTTACCTGCTGCTTTGGTGGCCCAGTTCCCAACGGGCCGTGGCCCGGTAGCAGTCTGCGACTTGAAGGTTGTGGACCGCTGTTTTAGACAGTTGGGTTTAAGAGGCTGTTATTGTTGGGGGTGGGTCACTATAATTTGTCATGGTCTGCGATTTTTCTCCTTTTTGGTTTTGTTCTCTTAAGGGCATGGTTGAGAAGTGGCTGTTGCAAGTGGAAGAAATGATGTTGGCTAGCATTAGGCAAGTCATGGAAAATGGCATCAAAGGGTACGATGAGGTAAGCAGCGAATCGGCAGATGCTTTGAGGAGTTAACTACACCCACAGCCTTACACAATCAGACAAAAGGAGTCAAGGTGCGGGTGTGCTTATATGTGTTGAGTCCGTTGTTAACAGCTGTATTTTCTAAGCTGAAACCATTATATTTTCTGAAGCCATTGTACACAGGTTTTTAGCTTGTAGATTCTTTGCATATCGATCTATCAGATTTCAAAAATTAGATGTGTCTTAAAAGGCCCCATTTGGGGAGAAGGGAACCCCCAAGATTTTGAGAAGCACAGGGGATAGGAAAAGGCTGCCAAAATTGCAGGACTATTATTTAGGTTTTTGTTAAAAAAAGATGTTTTAAAAAGAAGAGAATAAAGCCCTTTTTAGAGCTTAGCAACTGTTTTAGCAAGCGCTTCTCTGACCCCTATCAAAACAGATGTTTGATGTGCCCTAGCTGTAGCTAGAAAAGGTACAAATATTATTTCTTGTGTGTTATATATGTTTTTTTAGGTTCCTCGAAAAGCATGGGTGCTGCAGTGGCCAGGACAAGTTGTCATTTGTGTATCTTCAATCTTCTGGACCAAAGAAGTATCGGAAGCCATACAGGAAAACTCTTTACCTGTAATTACACACATACCCCTTAAATTATCCAATATAGCAACTTTTCCCAGTCTTCTGGGTAGGTTGGGACTACAACTCCCAGAATTCCCTAGCTTTTGCTTGGTGATGGCTGGTATGCAGCGTTTGTACCCACCCCAAAAGCTTCTTACTTTGCTTTTAATGATAAAACCATAAAAAGATGACTGAGTTCTGCTCCATGCAGGCAGTCCTCGACTTATGACCACAACGACAACCACCATTTCCATTGGTAAGCAAGTTGGTTGTTAAGTGAGTCACACCCAATTTTAAGACCCTTTTTTGGAGGGGGGAGGTCAGGGTTGTTAACTGGATCCCTGCAATTAAAGTGAGTCATGGGATCATTAAGCGATTCTGGTTTCTCCCACTGACTTTGCTCTGTGGAAGGTTGCAAATGGCGGTCATGCAATCCAGGATGCTGCAGCTGCTGGTTGCCAGGCACCCAAATTTGGATGTCATGACTGTGGTGATGCCATGACAGTCATAAGTGCAAGTACCAGTCATAAGTCACAATTTTTCAGGGCCATTGCAACTTCGAACGGTCACCAAACTAATGGTTTTAAGTCGAGGGTTGCTTGTACATAATTTTTTTAAAAAAATGTAATTCCTTTTCAAAATAGGAGAAAAAAAAATACCCCAAACTTTTGACCTCTTCTGGGAATTTCTGGCGGGCATTTTTTTTTCATCCCTGAGGAGGAAACCCAGCCTCATTGTTGTGTCTCTGCTTCAGGCATTTTTGGAGAAAAGCAACCGGCAGATTGGGGACATTGTGGAGCTGGTGAGAGGAAAGCTGTCGAGTGGAGCTCGGTTGACCCTGGGTGCCCTCACGGTCATTGATGTGCATGGTAAGTGGCGGTGGCCAAGATGAAAAAGATGTTGAAATATGGATTGTCCTACGAGGGGTGGAAGGGAGAGCAAGGAACGTTATGGATAGGGAGGTAAAGTAAAGGTCTCCCTGTCCAGTCATGTCCGACTCTAGAGGTTGGTGCTCATCTCCATTTCTTAGCCGAGGGAGCCAACGTTGCCCTTCTGAGGTCATGTGGCCAGCATGACTATGTGCTTAGGCACATGGAACATGGTTATCTTCCCACTGAACTGGTACCTATTTATTTACTCTCATTTGCATGCTTTCAAACTGCTAGTGCTACCTATTTACTCGCATTTGCATGCTTTGAAACTGCTAGCGCTACCTATTTATCTACTTGCATTTGCGTGCTTTCG